TCGAGAGGACTTTCGGCTCGCCGCATATTCACAGTGCGCCCATGCCGCACGAGCGATATTTATATACCAACATCCATGCCGTTTTAGGGATTTGAACCAGCCCCTTTGGCACGGCAGGCAGCAGCCCTAAGGGCTGGGTGACTGTTGTTAATGCTAACAGTGGTTTAATTTTTCTTGTTAATTATCATCATTATTTTTTATTTATGTGTAAATAAACACTGCGAAAACCATTCTTTCTTTGGTTATGAGAAATCTTAATTAATACTTAAAATCTTGCATCCCTTTTCCTAGTATTTGGAACATATACTTTCTCATAAGAAATGCTAGTCTTCCAGAAAAATATTAAAGAAGGTCTAATTTATAGTAGTAAATTCTATTATGTTTTTTTTTTTAGTCCAAAGGGATTTGAATCCCGAAGGACTATTAGTTTTGTTTTGGCATTTTGCGTGGGACGTATAAATGTCGGTTCAACTTTTCAAACTGTTGCCATAAAATGTTTAGAGTCCTGCATTATATTTGAAGAAATTAAATAATGAAAAATCTGCGTAAATGTATGTAATATTCTCACATTGTCATAAAATAACGGTACATAGAGTCATCGAATTTTGAATAACGTAATCCTCCAACGAATATGAGCATGTGGAAGACCAAATTTGAAATTTGTTTTATGATCGATTTCCTATTTTTAAAACTTTGACGAATTTTTAATTAACAAACTTAAGGATTTCAAAGCGAGCAATGGCAAAGTTGTGCAGAAAAAACATTTTTGTCTCCAGCGCGTGAGTCTCTGTATCGGAAATTCTAAAGAAATGCTCGTTTTAAAACTATTTTGCGATATTGCTGTTGCACTGGATCTTATGGTTTAAGTGCGAGGAAACATGATATTTAATAAAGAAAGGTAACATACAAAATGTTAAAAAACGCCCCTTTGGACGTAATTTAAAATCTGAAACATTTCAGATTTTTTTTTTTTTTTTTTAGGTTAAAAATTTAGAATATTTTCCGATTAATTTGCAGAAATTAATGTATTTAATACTGAGGTATGAAATTTTGTTAGGTTATTTGAATATGGCAAAGTATAGGAGGGCTATCTGATAAAGAGGGTATGCTGTCATGGGGAACATTTTAAGGGAATTTGTATTCATGTTACATATGAGGAGAAACAACTATTAAGTCAGCTCATTCATCTGGGAGCAGACCTAATAAAAATTTGTTACTTTTATTCTTTGGTAACATCAGCTCAGTATTGTTATCAAACTTTGTACCAAACTGCAAATTTAAATGCTTTGTTGTTTAAAAGATCTTGGAGATTTCTAAAATAGCTGATAACTGTTTAGTTTAGCTTTTTTACAGATAGTGTGGGTTATTTGATTGGATTTATGAACAGTTGAATACATATTTTAACTTTAGAATACATAAAATTATTCCTTTTGAATGGCAAAACATTTAGAATTATTTAATTAATGTATTTTGAGTGATAAATTTTGCACATTTTGTAAATGTAAATTTATTTTGTGCAACATGCACATAGCACCATATCTGTCTTTGAATATAAAAGTTAGTTAAGAGACATTAACTAAATGCACATTAAGACATAAAAGTTACAGTAGATTCTGGATAAACTGAGGTAACACCAAAAATAACATCCACAGTTAACCAAAAATCAGGGTTAATCGAGTAGCAGTAAAAAACACCAACATCCATGTTAAAACAACAATACCACACATACCAACAGGAAAGGTGTTGGTATGTGTGATTATGGCAAAGCCTTGAGAGCTATCTGCCTAAAGGGAGGGATGCCTTTGTGGAGAACTTACTAAGGGTACCTGGCTCATATACACGTTACACATGGGGAAAACTACAAAAATGTCCATGCAGCCAGCCCGATCGCAAGATTTGAACTTCAGACTGAACTACCAGTGTTCAGTGACTTGACTGCTCGGCTGCTGGTGGATATACACAGGAAAGGAGTAACCCATATCATAGTTATCAGCAGCGACAACAAAAATGGAACAGTAAACAATGTACTTCTATTTTTAAGTAGTTGAATCTGTATAATTAGCTCATTTGGTTATTGTAAATTAAATCAGACTGCAAAGCAAGAATATACTTAAAAACAGAAAAAACAATGTTTTGTTTATACTGCTATTGCTTTTCAGTAGAAGATAATGGGAAGCAGAAGATCAGCAATTGTACACTTAATTTAATGTTGCATTGAGCACTTGAATCATATCCAAAGTACTGGTCCATCATGTTCTATCAACCGCTGTTATCCCGTGCATTTTCGTTTCCTTTTATATTTCTTTTATAAATTTCAATTTATTCCAATAGTTTGTGATAGCAGTTTTCATCGTTTCGCGATGAGCTAACCTAACCTATTTAGATGAGGCCTGACTAATATGCTTCCAGTTAATCAAGAGTTTACTATATATAGTTGAAATGAGTTGACTGTGATGACAGTAAATTTATTAGTCTTGAAAGATTATTAAATCTTCAAATGCACTGTTTTACTTTTCATTCGAGTCTGTTGCCATTCGGAAAAGTATGTACGAAATGATATGTATTATTCTTCCATATTTAATCTGTTTAAACTATTTAAAAGCAATAGATGCAGTTCTTAAGAGTATGATTCTTTTATTTTTTATTATGATTGATTTAAATAGAAATGCATTTAATTCATGGTGTATCGGATTAAAAACATTAAACATTTTTATAGAATTATGTAACATATTTTTTCATTTTTTAAATACGTATACAAAAGATATATAATGTTCCCATGTTAGTGTAAATATATATTCATCTAATGCCCAATGAAATGTTTACTATTCTACCTGGGCCACATCTATTGATAATCTCTATCGGTAAACCATATTAAATTTTAAAAGAACATTTTTGGACGATTGTAAAAATTACGATCCATAATTTTTTTTTTTTTTTCTTTTTTACCATCTTTCCTAGCATTTGAACTGCTAACTGGTTGTATTATGACTTAACAACGATTGGCAGACATGCCTTTTGGCATAATACGCTGCTCGACATTGAAAATGCAACATCAAGAAGTAGTGGTCTGAAATTTGCAAATTTTAGAGCAGACGCATGTCACTGAGTTATGCGAATAATGTGAAATGCACAGCTCTCCGACGCACGTGAAGTAAGATATAAGGGAAGGAATGGGAAGAATGGGCAGTATTCGTGTCGTTATTTCTGCCAGAACAGTTATCAAAGAAAGCTGGGTTTTGTCTTGGAGGAAACGTGTAATAGGAGAGAATGGCCAGGCTGCCATCAACGAAGGCACTCCCAGCAGATAGACGATTTTACGAGGGGTATGGTGATCGGACTGAGAAGGGTGGGTTTGTCCTTACGTCAAATCGCGGCTGATACCCACATGAATGCAAGCACGGTGCATCGGCTATGGCGAACATGGTTGGAACAAGGAAATGTGGGAAGAAGGAGGGGTGCAGGTGCAGCCAGAGTGACGTGAGCACGCGTGGATCGACACGTCCACCGACAAGCTGTGGCGGTCCCGCAAGTCACTTGTACCGCGATTCTGCAGCATGTGCAAGATAGCCTGGATGTTCCCATATCGACCAGAACTATTTCCTGTCAATTGGTTGAACGTGGCCTGCACTCACAACGTCCATTAAGAAGACTGTCCATTGACTCCACAGCATAGAATGCCAACGTTTAGAATGGTGCCGGACTGGAGCGCTGTGGATGAACAGAATGTGCGAAGCATCGTGTTCTCAGATGAGTCATGCTTCTGTTTATCCAGTGACAGTCGCCGCATACGTGCGTGGCGTCGAACGTGGAGGACAGAATCTAATCCAGGCAGTAACTGTGGAATGCTCCCACTGCGCCAGCGACAATGTGGCATAATGGTTTTGGTTCGCTATTGCCCTACGATTCCAGGTCACCTCTAGTTCGTATTCAAGGCACTATGACGGCCCACCGATACTTGGATAATGTACTGTGGCCAGTGGCAATCCCCTACCTTCAGGGGCTGCCTAATGCAATTTTTCAGCAGGATAATGCCCGACCACACAGTGCTCGCATCTGCCAACATGCTCTGCAAGGTATACAGCTGCTTCCCTGGCCATTGTACTTTCCTGACCTGTCACCAATCGAACAGGTGTGGGATGTGATTGGACGCCGTTTGCAGACTCTGCCCCTGCCTTGTTCAGAAAATGGACTGTGGCTGATGGTTGAAAGGGAATGGAGAGCCACCCCTCAGGACACCATTCGCACTCTTATTGGACTCTATGCCTAGACATGTTTCTTTGTACATCGCTGTCGACGGTGGTCCTACTGAGCCGACGCCGTTCTCACTCTGTATCCTGACTATCATTTTAAAATAAAGATCACTTATTGCTGTTTGCTATCTCTTTTTTCCAAATTCATCACTTTCTGACCACTCCTTCTTGGTGTTGCATTTTCAATGTTGAGCAGTGTATTTTAGACACATTTCTGAGGTGGTATTTCTTATCAGAAAAACACCAGACATTTTGTATAGGAACACCGTGAACCAATAAAGAATTGAAAGTATATATTAAATGATCTGTACTTAGTTATAATTACAAATTAATTATTTTCATTTTGATTAGTCTCGTGTAAACTCATCATTTTACATTTGTGAAAGAAACACATGCCAGTGTAAAATTATCCGAAGCAAAAGTTAAGATAAATATTCTTTTTATATAAAACCATTATTCATCAAAGTAATCAACATATGTTATTCTCCTTTGGAGGGGAATTTTCTTCCCTTTCCCTGAAGAAGAAACTATGTCATTTGTCGTCAGAATTTTGAGTTATATAAAAAATACGTTAACTCCTGTCCCTTCTGATGTTTACATACTGTCATTTTTTCCCCCACGTAACCAAAGCTGTTTTATTATTTTCAACATACTTGATTATATTTCTGTATTGTTTTAAGTACAAAATAATCATAAGAGCTAAATTAAGTAATTTCTAAAATTGACTTTTTATTGTTTTTATTTTTTCAGATCAACGTCAACTAAATCCATCCATTTATAGTTATGATTTTCAAGATTTAGATGGTAGCTATTTTCAAAATCAAGATTTATCAAAAAGCCTCTACCATTTGTCAAAAAGATCTGCTGCACTTCCACCTCCTAAGAAAGCATCATCAGCAGATGAGAAAAAGTATCCTGGGAAAAGTTTATCAGAAAACTTCGATGTTCATGTAAAAACTGTTGCAACAATTTTAAAAAATTCAACTCAGCTGAGTACATCAACTGTTAATTCTACGACAGTAGATTTATCGACAGTACAAACTAACTCTGCTAATGACAAATATAATTTAACTGTGACTGAAAGTCCTGCCAATGCTTCAAGTGTGTCAGTGCTGAATGTAACATCATCTACTACATCTAGTACCACGTCTACGCCATCTAGTTCTGCATTTCCGGATGTTTTGCCAACAAAGCCTTCAAGTATTACAAACACAACTGTAAGTTATGACAGCATTTTCGTATTTCCTTTCTCTTTTCAATGTAATATCTTATATATACATAGTGTTCATAAAAGTCTTCAAAAATTAAAAAAAAAGTCTTATAAAAGTCTTTATAAGACTTTTTTTTTAATTTTTGCAATTTTTGCAAAAAGTCTTATAAAAGTCTTTATAAGACTTTTTTTTTTTTAATTTTTGCAACCGTTAAATTATAGACATATACAGTACAAAGTCTTTAATCCGGACATCCATGATCCGGAATGATCTATAATCCGGACCTCAAAGCTACAAACTTTCTGCACATGCGTAGCATTTACACATGCTCATAATACCTTTACGCATCCGCATATGCATTTACGCATGTGCGTAATACGTTTATGCATGCGCGTTTAATGTATAACGGACAATATAAGCTAGGCTAAAATTATCTAATTATCTATTCAATGTTGCAGATTGTGTTGTTCCTTAATCTTCTAATTGGATCCACCTTATTATTTTTTGCAGACTGTTAGAGCAATTTTATAAAAAGTAAGCTTGAACTTTCTTTTATGTCAAAAAGAGTTTCCGATTCTGGAGGAGCTGGCAAAGGATCTACAAAGTGAAAGCATGTTTCGATGTCCATCAAACAAAAAGTGGAATTGCTGCAATAAATGGATAAAGACATGAAGAAAGTAACAGAGAGGTTAGTGAAAACGAAAAAATTTCGATTGACAAGTTAGTCGGCATTCTCGGCACAGCAATTACAGGACATGAACAGCGGAACTTTGTATCTGAATAAGAAATTATGTCTATAGAATTAAAGAGAAAGTTTTAGCAGATAAACGAATTTAAACAGCTTACATTGAAAGAAATGTTCAATAAAATAAACAAATAAATATTAATTTTTTTTTTTTTTTTTTTTTGTAAATTTTGATACTCTTTAGATCATAATTGCTGTTTATTTCATAAATATAGTTTTATATTTTTAATTTTATAATTTTTACATGCTATTGTAACCAGATTTAAATTGATGGTCTATAATTCGGAAAAACCCTAATTTGGAATCTCCAAAGTCCCGACGAGTCCGGATTAAAGACTTTGTACTGTACTTCCTATTACTAAAATATTTTAAATGATGCATATATTCAGGTTTTGCCATCTTTAATTTCCTCTTTCATCTCTTTCTTAATGGATGAATTTGCATTCAGATTTGACCGTTATCTTGATGCTATGGACTTACATTTTGATACTCGTGTAAAGGGTTTGCCAAGAAGTCCTTTTCTGTGGTCTGTAGCCACCTAAGATGCTGCACATCATATGTAGCCATTTACTTCATTCCTTTGTCACAGCATGATGTATACAGTGATTAACAACTAACTGTATTTTCAGTATTGAATGAATCATCAAATCAGTTATGTAGCTCTTCCTTTCTTTGTTGTTGTTGACTAATGCTTACTTGTCTGTTCTATAATCAGCCCAAGCCCACGAGATTCCTTACCGCAATGAGCGCAAGATACAGCTGTTGTTGATAACAGCGTTGAGCACCTTACAAGTAGCAGTGGGATTCAGCTCAATCATTCTCCCCCCCCCCCTCTGAAGAGAACTTTCAGCTTGCCGCATATTTAGAGTGACCCCATGCCACACAGAAACTATTTATAAACATCAGTGCCCTCTTTGGAATTCAAACGTGGTCCCTACGGCACGGCAATCAGCAATGCTAACCACCATACTGGTTGGGTGCCTCGCTTTCTTGAAATTATGATATTCAAGTAAATTTAAATGTGGAGTTTTCTTTTAAATTCTAGTTGTTTTAAAGTTAACTACAGAATTTTGTTTATTTAAAAATGAAATAAATCAGTAGCTAAAAAGCAGACCTTTGTGTAGAACAGAAACTACATGTAGATATTCTAGTTTGACAAGCTGCTGAATGGCTAAGATTACTAAAACTGGTAATTTAACCTGAAATCAAACCACAACGAACGAGATGATTGCATGTGCATTTTTGTAGTTTTCTGTATGTGTAACATAGATATAAGCCACTTAGAAAGTTCTTCATAAAGAACTTTCTAAAGAGAAGTGGCATCCATCCTCTTAGGCAGATAGCCTTCATGTTCTTTGCCATATTAAACTAGCCAACCATTCAGACCTTCTTTGGCTTCTGTGCGAGCACACGTTTTGAGTATAACCTATTTCAGTTAAGCTTGAAATTTCATGTTCATGAAAGGATACAGAGGCGTTAAGAACTGTCCATTACTTTTTGAAAAATAAATAAACTTAGCTTGATTTACAGAACTGTTCCTTAACTATTTTCAAAGCATCTGACTCTCATGTGCTCAACAACATCGTTAAGAGTCATATGCTAAAAAATACCAAACCAAGATATAAGATACTTTCCAAAGTCTCGGTAAAATAAGCTGTGAGAAATAAATAAAAGTCAAAAATAATACAGTCAAAAGTCTTTAATCCGGACTCGTCGGGACTTCGACGATACCGGATTATCGATTTTTCCGGATTATAGATCATCAGTTTAAATCTGGTAAGATGGCATGCAGAAATTATAAAATTAAAAATATGAAACCGTAATTTATAAAATAATGAGCAATTATGATCTAAAGGATATCAAAATTTACAAAAAAAGAAGCTTAATATTTATTTGTTTACTTTATTAAACATTTCTTCCAACGCACGCATGCGTAAAGCATACATTACGCATAGCCGAAATTAGAAAATTGCAACCAGAAAACTATTTGATTTGTATTCGTGATATTTATAATGACGAGGAATTTGATTTAAATCATATCAAAGACGGAGTACATCGAGATAAAATACTACATTTAGTAAGGAATTATAAGCCGAATAAAATAAAAACATCTGCCCTGAAGATAACGATAGTGCTGACAGATCAACTTCCAGTTCATTGCGCGCCGCGACCCCCCCCCCCACTGCAGAGCAGCGTGAAAGTGATAAACAGATTTCGGAACGGTTAGATAAACAAAGGATATGTATTTATCCATTTTTTGTAGCAATTCCACTTTTTGTTTGATGGACATCGAAACATACTTTCGTTTTGTAGATCCTTTGGGAGCTCCAGCATCGGAAATTCTATTTGACATAATCGAAAGTTCAAGTTTACTTTTATAAAATTGCTCTTACAGTCTGCAAAAAATAATAAGCCAGATCCAATTCGAAGATTAAGGAACAGCGCAATCGTCAACATTACTGAAATAGATAATTAGATAATTTTAGCTTATACCGTCTGTTATACATTAAACGCGAACGAGAAAACGTATTCTGTGCTTGCGCAGACGCATATGCGTAGTCGTAAAGGTCTTGCACGCACGCGTAAACGCCTATGCGCATGCGTCAACGTGGCGCATGCGTAGAAAGATTTTAGCTTTGAGGTCCGGATTATAGATCATTTCGGATTATGGGTGTCCGAATTAACGACTTTTGACTGTATTATAACCCATTTGAAAGGCCTTAAATTGTTGTTCAAACAGCAGTTACCCAAATGAAATGAGAAGGACAGGATTTCAAATCCTTTCAGCAAAGATTTCTTAAAGCAGCCTCAAATTATCATTAAAAAAAGTATTTTTCCAAGCTTTATTCATTGCATCTTATCAGTTCTGTCATGTTAAAATATTATCATTGTAAGGTATATTGCGAGAATTTTGGAGGCTCATTTTAAAATATAAGAATGATTTGCTCTTTTTAAAATAAGAGTATTTTTTTAAAAACCTAAAAGGGGCTCTTAGTCTTGACATAGGATATTGCGATGTATCTCTGTATGCATCGCTTCACTTTAGATGGCTGACTCACTTTTCAGATTGTTGCTATCAAATGTTACTTTCCTCTATTATGACTTTCTTGTATGAAATAAAGGAAGTATTGTTGTTGCGAAAAATTTCGAGTATCACATTTCAATGAAAATATCCATTTTGGCGCATTTGGAATCCATTTGAACAGTGATTTTCTGTGACATCTGTTTGTACTGACAGAATAAAGGGTGCTTGTTTCCAAAACATATTGTAAAATGAGTTTGAAATGGATTCAGGAGAAATCTTTTCATGATGTCTGTATGTACCTATGTATGTATTTTGCATAACAAGAAAACAAGTAGCCTTAGGCTGTGTTCAGACGGCGGCGTAAAGGGCATAGAGGTGTAGTCATAAGGGCATAAAATACGGGAATTCCGTTCACACTTGCGAGAACGGGGTATAAGCCGTTTGCAATGAGAGCTAAATTTGCGCATGCTGGGATGTGTCTACAACTTTCCCGCGTTCGCTCTGCTTGTTTTGTGACAGCGAAATTTTCTGTAGACGCCGCTTCGCTCCAATTGGTCGATGCTTATCATAAACTCGGCGTAAAGTTGAAAACTTTGAACCCTATGCCACGAGCCCTAAACCAGATTTTGTGACATTGCACAGACTGGTTGCCTTGGCAATGGAGTAAGCGTTAAGGGCATAACCACTTATGCCCTTAATGCTCTGTCTGAATGAAGCTTTAGTATTTTTTTTTTTTTTTTGCTTTAAAAGTGATTGAATTATGCTCTAGTTAAGGTTTTTATGTCTTTAATTAATTCACATGTAGTAGTTGGAGAAATATCGAAAATTTAAAAGTGTCTTCTCTAGGCTTAACGTGTTGTTACATTTGAAACTCTTAGTGGTATAATGAATCAAGTCGGTGCACCAACTTCAGTGTCTTTTTATCCAGCGAGACCAAAAGCTAAGTTGAAATTTTTGCGCAACGAAAATTTGGCTTTTTTGCCCATTGGCTGAACATCTTGTTTTGCTGTAGAAACTAATTTAAATTGCAGAAATTCTTTTCTTAACTGTGTTTAACTGTATTTGATGTTTTAGATTTTTCTGTATTTTTTAATTTTTTGTGAAAATACTTTGAGGTTTTATGTATTTTCCCCTTGCGTTGAAGTGAGGACTGAATTAATTGAATGAGAAATATATCTGTAATAAAATTCGAGGAAGTAAGTTTAAATGAAATGCAGCAAAAAATGTATATAATTTAATAGGCTGCACACGGAAGTCATGTGGCATCTGCATCAGATTTTTTTATTAAATAATGAAGAATAAGTAAATTAAATGATTAAGAATCAGCATTATGAAATTATGTTTTTTTCCATTGTAAAAAAAAGACAGTACTTAGAACCATCAAATTTTTAATAACATAGTCCTCCACCTGCACCTGCACGCATTTGGAAGCTTGGATTTTGAATTATTATTGTTTATTTCATATTCTGTGAAATTTTAATGCATTTTTGATTAATAAACTCAACAATTTGAAAGCGAGCAGTGGCTGATTATTTGAAATAAAATATTCTTATCTGCAGTGCATAAGACTTGCCATTTGGTAAAAACAAGATTTTTGTCATTTATCATTAACATTCTTAGCTCTATGGAATCAATGTGACTTCGCAGCCGAAAAAACAGTGATGCTTTCAATTTAATCTGGAAAGTTATTGACTAATAACCTTGAGTAAGGAAGGGATTTAAAAGCAATAAATACAGTTCTTAAGAGTACTTTTTCATACTTTTTGATGTGATTGTTTTAAACAAACATATTAAAATGAGATGTCTTTTTGTGAAATTGCACTAGTTTGATTCATTGAAATCCTTATATACTTTTTTAAGATAACTATTTTAGGCAGCTGACGTAAGTGGCTAATTTAATAAAAATAAATAAATAAATAAAAAATTAAAATTACAGCGAAATATCAACATAGTATGAAACACTCTATTGGTAATTCTAAAGATATGCTGTTTTAAAGTATTTTTATTTTTTGTTAGAATTTGATGTAACGTAAGTGGAAGGAACATAATATTTAATAAAGTTAACACACAAAAAGTTAATAATAAAAAGGGGGAAAAAAAAAAGTTTTTTTAGCCATCTTACTAAGAAAATTGAACGTTTATATGATGAACTGAGAAAAGATTGAAAAAAAAAAAAAAAAAATAGAAAAATATATGCCTACCCTTAATACTACATCCTGAATTCTAAACATAAACTGCTACAGTGCTTTTAAAAGACTTGATTTTGCTATTGAATTGCACTTAGAAAAGAATGCTGAATATTAAAGTTTAAAAGACAAAAAAAGGGGAGGGGAGGTTATTTGGAGTGAGTGCAAGAGCAGACTGGTTAGAGTGTGAGCTCAGCAAGAGCATAAAAAAAACCTTAACAAACCCTTTTGGGAGGCTGTTAAAATCTGAAATCTTTCAACTTTTTTTCCTTTATTTTTTAATCTTTAAGTTGGCCTTAAGCTGTAAATTTCTGTGGGTGAAAAATTTTAAATTCCATTTTGAATTTGAGCTTCTAGAGAGAGATGTGTATTACAGAGAATTGCTGCATAATTCTAAGCGGCAAAATGATAAGTAATTTTCCAATAAATAAGACATGCATAATTCCCTTACCTTTTTTTTAATGTTTATAAGCATTTTCACTATGATCAGTCTCGTTGATGATCTATTAAAAATGCCATTATTTCCACCAAAGCACTATAAAATTTTCTAAAAGATGGGTAGAATAAACATCCACAAGTTGCATTTTCTGGAAATAATTGCAGAGTGGTGGATTTTTCACCATCTCTTTTCTGTCTTCAGAATTCAGTTCTGTTGCTTAAATTCAACTAATCAATCAGCATTGAAATTATAATATAGATCAAAATTATCGCTTTTTGATCTGAAATTCAAAAGTTTTAATTTTTCAGTTTTTAAGAGGCTTACTTAATTTATTTACTTTTTGTTTAAAAAATATGTCCATTATTTTAATACCATTTTGAATCTCACAGTAATTAAATGTTGTTAGAAAACCTAAAATTATCGTAATATGAAGATAATATATATATATATATATATATATATATATATATTTTTAGTGTGGCATCCTTATTAACTATTTCATTCCCATTGCAGATTGATCATCATGTTTATTATAATTCAACATTGTTCTCAGATGAGGGACAGGCGATGGCCTTTTGGGTTAATTTTGATGAACTTCCTCAAGACAAGTACGTTGTACACCAAATGCTGTCCGATTCTCACAGGAGAGCAGCTGTAAGTTTTTTGTTCATCCTTTCAGTACTTCTAAAAATTGCTATTGTAGATTTAGCCTGCACAAAAATATTTTGTTCTTTATTTATAGATATTTTTTCCCTCCTTGCAGACTGTTACCTTGTCTTTTGATTTTCCATTTTATGGCCACCCTTTATGGAACATCACGATAGCAACTGGAGGTATTTTTGCCCAACTGTTTGATATCACAGGATCTTTTCATTATAAGTTAAAAATTTACGTTTAGGAGTAGTTAGTAATGTTAGTGTTAATAACTTCAAAATATATATATCTCTACCGACTTTATCAATTAATATTGAAAAATTCTTTTCAGTCTTTATATTATGCTATATGAAGTCCATGATTTTTTTTTTTTTTTTTTTTTTTTTTTTTTTTTTTTTTTTTATTTAATGCTGGGCTTGAGTGTGAGTGTTATCTGATTCTTCCAGAAGAGTAGCTGTGATTTGTAGTGTGCAATGAAGTACTTGAAGTATGCTTATATTAAAAATTAAATTATATTAAAAATGCATAAATACTGTAATCAAAAGATACAAGTTATTAAAAATGTATGTATTATCAAATAGTTTTTAAGCCATGTATCCTTCATATCAAAAACTTTAAAGTTAAATCATGTCTTAATTTTTAAGTGTAAATCATGTGGCAGGTAAATGTTAAAAGTGCATAAATTAAACAATTAAATCACTTAGTCTTAGCAAGTATAAGTTGTATGGGTTTAATAATAAATTTCTTCAATAGAAACTAACCACCATGTAAAATACTTTTGTAAATGATTTTATCTTACCTTGAGCTTTAATTATTGTTTAATTTGTTTAGATGTATTTGCTTTCATTTATGTGCATTGTATTTATTGTTTCACATGTTAATTAATTTTGGATTAATGAAAAAATTGTGTTAATTTATTTTGTTGTAGTGTTATGGTATTGAACCTTATAGCTATCTTAACATAAAAATAATATAAGAGGTAATTTTTCTATATTTGTATTACATAATTTAGTATCTTAACATAAAAATAATATAAGAGATAATTTTTTTATATTTGTATTACATAATTTAGTGAGGATCGGCTTGAAATAAGTAAACATAAAATTTTTGGGTGGTGGGGAGGGACAGCAAGTGAAATAACCATTTCTGAAGAAAACAAAGTATATTTTTGAAATAACAGTTATGATTTTTATTTCTGTTGAAAGAAAAACTAACACCAGGTATGTCTAATGATCCTATATGTAACATCATATGTATGTTTGTATATGTTATGCAAGTGTATATTTGTTATATGTATATATTCTTAAGCTTTTTTTTCTTCTTTTTTTCTGAACTTTATTTATAGGGTTTGTGTACATGGGGGATTATATGCATAGTTGGCTTGCTGCTACACAATATATTGCCCCTCTAATGGCAAATTTTGACACAAGTCTCAGCAATGACTCCATGGTCAGATATTTTGACAATGGTAAGTTTCATTAGCATAGTTTTATACTTTATTTCTGTTCTAAGAAGAGTTTATTTGTGTTCAAGTAATGACAGATGTGTGCAAACTGTCCAATCCATAGAATAGGCTGCATTTCCGTTGTTCCAATTCATCCAAATTATGACTCTGGATTCGCTAGATAATTACAGTAAGATACGCGTATGCATTTTATGAAGCACTGTGAACTTTCATATGAAAGTGACTGTACTAGTATAGAATGGGTTAAAAATTATGCATGAACTCAAATTTATTTATGACTTAAAAAGCGAAGTTTGCGGTGCTGTCAGTAAATTTTTATTATTTGTTCAAATATGAAGATTAAGTCAAACTGAAATGCTTTGAACGCAAGCAAAATATTGGCATGATGACTTACAAAGCTTTGTTAAAATTTTAGAATTTAAAACTATGAAATAATCATATCTGAAAATGAGACTGGCTAGACTGGCTAGCACGGTAATGAAGATTTTGCTACTCATCATCAGCATTAAAATTTTATTTTCAGTCAAAAATTTTTTTAAATAAATGTAAATTATATCCCATGGTCTTGTGCAAGAAACTGCAACAAAATTAGAACTACTAATATCAACTAATATCTCTCTTTCAACTAATATCTCTGTTTTAAACTGATTGTTGAGTCGACAGTTTTTTTAAAACTGAATTTAAAAAATTGGGAAAATGTAGGAACATTTAGAAGGAGTGCAGTGAAAAATGGGTAACATTCATGAATTTTATCATTGATACATTTTTTTCTCTTTCTTAGTGGTGGGTTATTTAGCTACCTTCGTGGTAGGTCCATTAACCGTAAAAAATATCGTTTACATGTGTTTAAAAGCAGTGGTAACTGACACCTCATAGACATATTTCAGGCCATGACGGAAAATGAAACAGATAGGCTTTTAAAACGCCTATATCCTACCATAGATTTTTGATAGTCTTCCAAAAATTAAAAATTACTTAAAGATCATAAAATATAAACAGAATGTGCATATAAAGGTCAGAACATAAGGCATGCTCAAATTGTACGTAATAATAAACTTGTACATAAATTTATGCCAGTAAAATTGTTGCATGCATATGAGTTTGCAGTAGAGTGAATGCATACAGGTAATTTATTTTAACAAAGAAAACACTTCACGGTTCTGCAATTTTACACAAAAAAATCTTCACAGAATATAATCAGTAATTACACTTCAAACTACTAAGAACGTTAAACACAACACAATGTAAAGCACATGTAAAGAGTGAAGCTAACTCGGAGATATCTCAGTACTCCTTAAATTAAGCTGAACTAAACAGCTAACAACAACAAAAAAATGGAAGCGCATGCTCTGTCTGTCCTTATCTAGTTTTCACCTGGCTGCGGAGAAATTTCTATTGCCTTCAGAAATTAATGGAAGGTGTATGGTTACAGTTGCATCTAAAGTCAGTTACAGTTATTCAATTACAATATTATGGTGACACAGGGACCAGGCCCAGGCGTCGCCAAATGGTTGCCAAAACCATTGGCGATATCTCTTCAAATTAGCGAGAAAGCCATTTACTTACCATTAAATAAACTTGCCTCTGTATTCTTATTTTTCCAACAGAGCATTCTCTCTCTAGATTTCCGTGTTACATTATACAGAAAAGTAGTATAATTTAACTAAAATTATCCATATATATACGAAATTCATAACACTGTAAATACCAACAGTATTTGTAACATGATCAGCGGAATTTATAAGACTGAGTGGCTTATTTTGCCAATATCAGCATCAGATTTTTTCAATGATTAATATAAATCATTTTGCTAATATCAGCGTCAGATTTTATCAACGATAAATATAAAATTTTATCAATAATTAATATAATTCATCTGCTGTATGTATATTAAATATTATTGTGTAATGTGCATAAATGAAGAAAAATTGAATCATATGCAAACTGTGTGCAAACTGCCAGTAAATTAAAGTCAAAAATGTAAAATTTCTGTGGTGCCAAATATTTTGGTTGCATAGAACTTGTAGCTAGAGGTAATGTGGCAAATGAAATGATATATATAAAGAACTGATGTTGCCCTTTTTAGTCTTTGATCCTAAATTTCATTAGTATTATGTAAAAACATTTAACAATTTTTTCTGGAAACAATTTAAAGTATATTTTATTTGTTTTTAAATAGTGCTTTTAAGTTGCTGTAGTTCATATTTTCAGATTTCTACATTTCATGACTTTTATTCGACAGTAGATTTCTGTATTGATTTTATTGTAATCTGTTGTTTTAAAATAATTCACTTATGCGCTTCCGATTCTTCATTTCTCACTGCTGAAAAATTAATACTATTAGATTTAGGTGATTTAAAGAAACAGCTTGCAGTTTAACGTTTAAATACTGGAATGATGTAAATTCTGAAGACTTTTCTTCCGAAATACTATATAGTTTTAAAAATCATGCAACTATAATGGTTCTGGAGAATAAAGCAGTTTAAGACCTTTTAAAATTAATTCACAAATTCAATTAAGTTCAACCATATTTGGATTTGAAAACTATATTAAGAATATTTTTAACATTTATAGTCACTTTTGCTAATTTAAAAGAAGCATCTGTAAGCTTAAAAAGTTGTATAAGGGCTTTAATTAAGTTGGAAAAACTGTCAAATCAGGTGTTCTATTTATAGTTTGTTAAGTAATGAAATAATTTTTAAAAAATTGTGAATTTCTTTTTATAAAGGCAACATAATTAGGATATAAAAAAGTTTAAAAATTTGCTGTTTTTCTATTACATATACCACTATTTATTATTTTCAAAGTTATTTATTTTAACTGAACTACAAAACTTTTCTCAATTTAAAATATAGTTTAGTATATTATTACTGCACTGTATATTGGGGTGCACGTTTCACTTCTAGCATCAAGTGGTTAAGTGCCTAGGCATAGCTTTGGTTATTATACTACTTAATTGAGAAGATAGAAATATTTCCTCAGTAAGGACTGTTCTGCATCCCATAACTTTCAAACATTTAATAATATATATTGGAGTATGGAATTCAGATTTCACATTTGATTTTTATATTTCAATTTAATATTTTTTAGGAACAGCATTTGTTATCGAGTGGCATCAAGTTACTTTGCAAGATGAAAAGAAAGGTAATTTTTTTTTATTTCTTTTGTAATCTTAAATTACAGGTTTGGCAACTTTGAGTTGTTAATAATGGAGCAAAACTATATCATTTATATGTTTAAAATATGATAGGAAACTTATGGGAAACTAGTTACAGCATAAAGTCACCCAGGCTAAATTTGTAGTTAATTTATAATTGCATTCAGGTGTATTATGAACTCTGTAATTTTAATTAACACATGCTATTCCATCTGTAGTTCTTAACACTGTTAGATCAGTATTTTGTATTACTTATTCTATGTTTTTTAGATAAATATTATATGCTTAAGTTTGTTGCTTGGAACTTAAAAGATTTTAATGATTCTTTTTAATTTCTTTGTCTTATTCAAAAGATAAGTTGATTTTTTGTACTTTATAGTGCATATTCTGTTTCATAAAAAACTCGGTAAATGTTAACAGTCAAAAGTCATTAATCCGGACTCGTCGGGACTTCGGCGATTCCGGATTATCGATTTTTCCGAATTATAGATCATCAGTTTAAATCTCGTAAGATGGCATGCAGAAATTCTAAAATTAAAAATATGAAACCGTAATTTATAAAATAATGAGCAATTATGAACTAAAGGGTATCAAATTTACAAAAAAAAAAAAAAAAAAAAAAAAAAAAAAAAAAAAAAAAAAAAAAAAAAAAAAAAAAAAAAAAAGTAAGTTGTTTAAGTTGCTTCGTTTTATGTGATAATACTTTCTCATTAATTCTATAAACAGACATAATTTCTTGTTCAGTTACAAAGTTCCGCTGTTCAAGTCCCGTTAATTGCTGTGCCGAGAATACCGACTAACTTGTCAATCGAAATTTTTTCGTTTTCTCTGTCACATTCTTCATGTCTTTATCCATTTTTTGCAGCAATTCCACTTTTTGTTTGTTGGACATCGAAACATACTTTCGTTTTGTAGATCCTTTGGAAGTTCCAGCATCGGAAATTCTATTTGACGTAATCGAAAGTTCAAGTTTACTTTTATAAAATTGCTCTTACAGTCTGCAAAAAATAATAAGCGGGATCCAATTCGAAGTTTAAGGAACAACGCAATCATTAACATTAACTGAAATATATAATTAGATAATTTTAGCTTACACCGTCCGTTATACATTAAACATGCAGGCGAAAACGTATTCTGCACTTGCGCACATGCATATGCGCAATAGTCAAGGTCTTACACACACGCGTAAAACGCCTGTGAGTTTTTAGCTTTGAGGTCCGGATTATAGATCATTCCAGATTATGGGTGTCCGAATTAACAACTTTTGACTGTATATATATATATTGTTGCGTTCTACAGGTTAGTGAATTTAGAATGATTGATGAAAAATCAAAACACAATTTATTCATCAGTGTTAGACAAGACAGTTCCAAAGGTACATTACAGTCATAAAAAAATTGTGACAAAGACAAACACAGCCTTCAGGTTATCAGACTATAACGGTGAAGATAGCTTCACGGCAAAACACTGAAGTACAGCTCCCAACTCGGTTCGGTCGCCCTCAAGTTAACTTCTGAGCTCAAGAACTACTACTAAACATACTTTCTATAGCTTTTGACCTGCTTCGAGAACATTCTTGGTAAAACTGGTAAGAATTTGTTGTAGAATGTTCTTGCTCTGTGTATGGCATAACTCAAACTGTGTCAGCAAATGGCCGATTTCATGCCAAATATGGCAACCCTGCTCTTCCTTACCACTTCCTGGCGCAGGAAGCTATCTTACAGCAGCTGTGCAATTCATAACGTATATACTACTTGCCACTTTGGTTTGCAGAAGTACTCTATTATTCTTTCCTCTTTTACTGTAGAATTCATTGTCCTGTAGCACTTTCAAAAAAATTTATTTGCATGACTCAAATCCTGAAATTTTTGTTGATTGAAATCGGCTGTGTTTAGTCCTCTTAATTGCACCATGGTGCAAATCATTTTGTTTTATTTTTTAGAATTGCTTTCTTTCAAATTGTTGGGGGCCTATAAAATTAATGTCTCTCATTCATGCTACCACTGGAAATTTGGTATATTTGCCAAGCGAGTGATACACATTATCGTGAATGTCAAGCACAAAGTCTAGGGTATATGAAAAAGAGTGCTTTGGATATGGGATTATGATTCATTATTCAGGATGTTCATAAAAGATGTCTAAGGGCTGAGAATTAATCTACATGCGCTGTGGCAATTTTCGCTTGCATATTATGTTATTCGTGGATTTCCTGGACATATGTTTTTTTATGTTACCCATATACACACTACTTTACTGGTGTCATAACCCACTTCACTGGTTGTATGATAATATGACCAACCAGCCTTGAAAAGGCGTGAACTGATGAAATATGCTGTTCAGTTATTGTTGAGCCATCAAAATAGTCAGGGTGAGTGGCTGGAATATAGAAATTTGCTTCAAATGTCAGAAAACTCTGTATAGGTATCCTGTATTTGAAAGCACTGCACTGCCCTATGACATTGTTTAAAACCCTGGCATTTTTTATTTGCACATTGTTATCTAGGATTTCTGTGGCAACAATTTGATTTGGCTTACTTGCATATAAGAAGAGTTGGTTACATTAACTTTTAATGGTGTATATAGAGGCCGACCAGCGGCCGAACGGTAAAGTCGCTGAACACTGGTAGTACGGTCCGAGGTTCGAATCCCGCGAAGGGGCTGGCTGCATGCGTGTTTTCGTAGTTTTCCCCATGTGTAACGTGTATACGAGCCAGTTTCCCTTACAAAGTCCTCCACGAAGGCATCCCTTCCCTTAGGCAGATAGCCCTAGTGTGCTTTGCCGTAATCTCAATAAGCCAAACCAAACCAATGGTGTATATAGGTCAAGACTATTATTTAATTTCCTGTTGGAATGTTGCTTTTTAATCCTCTCGTTGCGTATTCTATGGTTTCAACAGGCAACATAGAAGTAGCAAAATTTGCACAACCCACGAATTCTGCAAGGATCCATTTTTTTCTATCTATTTAACTGTGCAGCCCGCTCTCCCATGGATAGTTTCGTTTTGGCTTTTCTGCAATGTTTAATTTTTTATTCAGATCTGGGTTTAACAGATGGTGTTAGTTGTCTATATTTCTGAAAAATATGCAAGCATGTTTTGCACCATTTTGCTCACTCTTTTCAAAGCTCAAAGATGTCTGTAGTTCAACTCTCAGTACCCTGAGACAAACTGCTTGACATTTTACTAGCCATGTACCCTCCAGTCCCATCAAGAAAGAGCCTCAACACTGACGTAAAAATTCGGAAAGAAACGCAAATTTTTTGCAAAGATTGTAAGTTAGGATTTTGCCTTGAGCCTAGTTTTGAAGTTTATCAGACTAAACTTCATTTCAAATAAATATTTTGTATGTATTTTGCATATTATCATTAGTATATATGTATTTTACCTTTGTATTTCATAAAGTAAATCACAAGAATAATTTTCAAAATTTTGCTTTTATATGATTATTCTTCAATTTCATTTTTTCGACAACCTTTTTTTTTTATGATCTAATTTTAAATTGGGTGGGGACCTCTTTTACAAATAATTTTGTATATTTTAATTCTTAAGTATGTTAAGTAAGTTATGCTTTTTAAGGGTATCAGTTATATCTGGGCTAGAATAGATTCCGCTAAAGACTCCTAGTACTCTCTGGATGCACATTTTTATTTCTCAGTTCACAGTTGCCTTTTGAAGCCTCCAATCTGTATGTGGTTTCACTAATTCTGATGATAACTCCATCAAAAAATCAGTTTTTTCCAATTTGTCACTATCTCTCAACAATTGATGTGTTACATGTGCATTAATTCCATTTGCATCAAGTAACCTAAAGAATACGGCCATTGGCCATCGCCTTGTTCTTCGGCTTGTAGAATGTTTAGAACTTTTTTCATCCAACGCATCTATCTATACCTCCTTTAGTCAAATTGTAAAACATTATTATTTCTGGTTTCCCAGTTTCAAGGTCTTATGATTTCGAATGATGCATTGAAGAAATAAGAATAACACTTTTTAATTTTTGGGGCACATATGAAATGCGAGTCATTCTATCTGTGAATACATAATGGGAAGATCATTCATGCATTCACAGATAGAAAATAGTCCTTCACTGAATTCCTAAAAGATCCTTCAATTTTCGTTTTATTTGGCAAAAAATCACCTGGTTTCTGTCTTTTTTTTTTTTTTTTTTTTTTTTCATAGTTCCAATGTCAAACCTGTAGAGTTAAACAAGTTCTTATCAGACCAGCTGCTGAAATGATAGAAGTAGTCTTTCCCTCATGCAAGAAAAAAGTAACTTAAACGCATAGGTGAGGTCTATATGATCGCGGCCCAATTTAAAAAATTATATTAAAAAAAACTATTGGGTTGAGTTTAATAAAAATTTAGGAGTATTTATATTTTATGTTAACTATTATTTTATGTTTTCAGTACTTTGGAGAAGAATAACTATATAATGTATAAGCTGTTTCACTGTTCTAGAATATTGATGCAGTTCATACAGACTCCACATCTGTGCTTAAGGGTTACTCTGAAATATATGTAGATTTGGAATGTGTAGTTAAAAAAATACTGTCGATTCTGCTTAATCGGGCCATGTCGGGAAGCGATCATTTTGGTTCTAATAACCGGCTGGTCCGATTACACGAACATGTCCTATGTTGTAAGACGGGACGTGCTATATGTAGCAAACAGTAATTGTATATGTAAATCATATACTAAAATGTAATTATGAACTTTATGGTGCGGTACACACGTATGGCGAACATACATGTACAAACAAGAACTACAGTCAAGCTTTTTTTCATTGAGAATGAGAAAATTAATTTAGAAACAAATTCTAAGAAACGATCTCCGTGATACTCATCATGTGAAGCACAATAAAAACAATTTCTTACCAAGTTCCAATTAACATTTGAAGAACTTATCCAATGTGATCTGACGTGTTCTCTTGGTGGATTGCACGTGAAGAAAATCGCCACAAACATCTAATGCTTAAAGTCATAGTGAGAAAGTGCTTTAATTGCTTAAAGTCATAGTGAGAAAAACAATTCTGAATTGTCTCACTGCTCACTTTTCGCCAGCTGTCTGCCACAAATACGCGATCCATCGCTTTTTTGAAGCCAGAGAGTGCAACATGTTTGTAACTTAACGAGCCGTCCAGTGTAGCACGATGATACAGCCCAGTCTCATCAGCATTGCAGATGCCATCTGCTGAAAAAGTTTCAAGAAGCTCGGGCAGTTTTGTTGATTCCATTCTTCAGCATTTGCACTATCAGCACTTTCTTTCTCGCCATATGCTTTCTTGAATTTTATGTCATGTCTTGATTTCCATTGAGACAACCAACCGTCCGTAGCTTTAAAGTCATCGTGGCCAAGCTTTTTTAGCGAGTTCTTCTGCTTTGCATTTTAACATTGGGCCGCTTACTCACACAGATCGTCCAGTAACAGTGGCAAACCATTCATTAAGGGCCTCATCAACATCTGGGTCCCTTGCCTTCACGCTCCTATTTTTTCGAAGTTCCTCCTCGTCCTTCACATTGTGCCCATTCTTCTTGCGGTTCATTCTCTTGTTTTATCAAGCGCGAAACTGTAGTCTATGCCAATACAGTTATCTCCACCAACCGGCGCTGACTAGTGTTTTGTGGTTGTTGCTTGGTCTTATCCAGGAAACCAATTTTTTCAGCTAACATCAAGTCTTGTTGTGGCATTTTGACAGGGAAGACAAGACATGCGCACAGTTCACTGACTAAAGCGATCTGGACCTTTGTGTTTCGGGTTCAAGATATTGAGGTCAAGAGGGAGATAAAATGCTTGCCATTCAAAGTTTTGGCACTAAAATCATCTCAAAAAAGTGATGAAATTATAGCTTTCTTGTGTAAACTTTGATCGTGATTGACAGGCGGGAATTCCTTTCAGGTGGAGCTGGCCACTCTATTGTTCATTTCCTCGAAACTCGGAGGCGCAGGTCGAAGAAAATGGTGCGTGTGTTCACCTCCCACTGGTTTTGCTTTTGTCATGCACTTTAAAAAATTCCTGACTTTTAATAAAGCATTTTTCCTGGGGAACCGCAACTATAGATCCTCCCATGTGTTGCAGACCACCTGTACATCTTCTTTATGCGGCCGACTTGTGGCTTCTGTTTCTTATTCGCTCTCACATTTTTTGGTCCGATTAAATGGAATTTTGGTCCAAATAAGCGAATAATATTAGTCCGAAAAAGCGGCTGGTCCGATTATCCGGATTCGACTGTATACAATTTTTCTAACCTACTTTAAAAAATTACGCACCGAGAGGGTTAAGAAGTATTCAAGAATTTATTAAATGATTTTAAGAAGAATTAGTCATCTCTTATTTGTTTTAATTAGTAATTTAAACAAAATATTGTGTTGGGGAGCAAAATGAAAGATGTAAAAGAATAAATGAGAGCATAAAACTGTCCAAGGTGTATTGAAGTTTTGATTAAATGAAGTACTACTGAAGATGTAATCTTTACTATGAAGTAAGTTTGATTTTGGCATTTCTTGAATTGGACAAAAGCTGCAACATGACCCTCCCCTTATCTTGCAAATTAAAATATTGTATTGATATAGGAAATTACGTGTAATTTTATAATTGCTTGTTTCTTAACTGTCACATTGTTCATATTAAAGTCATAATGTCAATATGATCAAAACTAATATAATTTATATGCATTTTCTTAGAAGGAAAATTTTTTTTATAAATAGTTTGGAAAATTGTTCACTGAAATTTGCATTTAAAGTAGTGTCTCATTTATTATTAATATAAAGAAATCTGAACTTTTGTTTACTGAATGCTTGCCATAATTACTCCAGCCTTGTTTTTAAAACAGGTGGAAACTTTACATTTCAAGCCACTTTATTGAAGAATGGAAATATTATCTTTGTATATGATTCAGTGAGTACAAATAATATTTATGTAATAATGTCTTCCATTTTGATTATGTAATCACAGTTTCATTGCTGTGGACAGTATTATACAACTGCCTATACTCCTGGTTTCTTGCAACTTTTAGCTGTGATGAAGAAAAACTACTACTAAAAAATATGTAGTATGTATATAAAAAATATGTAAATATAAAAATATAAAAATGTTTCCTAGCAATAAATTAAATGTATTAAATTAATGAAACTTAAAGTGTGCAAATTCCATTCTCTCATCTGTAGTGATTTTCAGCATAATCTTTCTTATTAAATTTGATTCTATCTGAAATCTCAAAATCTACTGTCAACATTTGTGAAACACTTTCTGAAGATTCAACTAATGTTTAATCATTTAATATTTGTTTTATACCAATATTTGTTACTTTAGTAAATTTTTCCACTCAATAGTGTGTGCATTAATTATTAAATATATTGTCATATTTTATCAGTAATTATTTTTAGATATCATTTTATCATATTTAAAAGTACTTTGATATATAAAAGCAGTGCTTCTCTACTCAGGATTTTCTCAATGCAAAATTTTAAGAAAATTAAAAAAATGAAATCAGGCAATGAATATAAAATTTAGAATACCCAATTACATGTTAATTTATTTTACATCAGAATGATATTACAAATAGTTCAATAACTTGAATCACACATCATAAAATAAATTTTGTAGTCAGTTTGGATTTCTTTTGAATGCAGGTTTTCATATGAGAGCCTCTCAGTTTTTTACATTTCAAGGTTGGCAGCTATGTACATCATACTTTTAAGTCTGTAGTTTATAAAAGAAGTTATGCCATTGTATGTCTTTGGGTTATTATTTTATATGGAAGTTTTGTTCTATGAAATAACAGATTTGTGTCTGCCCCCCCCAAAAAAAAAAATTTTATTTTTTTGAATTTATAAATTAATTTTATGTTGACTAGTAGCCGAGGTTTAGAGAATGCTTTCAAATTTAGATACTGAAATCAAAAGCTTTGCATAGTTTTCAAGTTAATAGTAACTTACATTAAATTTTATAGACATGTTGATCGTATTTATATTTTTATTAATTTTATACATTCAGCTGCAGAGTTCTAAAATTTTATAAGGTTAACTTACAAATAGATGTTTTTCTGTGTTTTTATGTGTGTGTGTTTCTGTGTTAAAGTGAAAGTTTTGTAGGATCTGATTAGAGGATATATTGTTAAAAATTTAAATGGTGAGTTTCTATATATGACTAATTAATGTGCAATGAAGTAGTTCAAATTTGTTGTGTGAATAATACATTGTCTTTGAAAAGCCTACTTTATTCTATTCTTCCCCTGTTTACTGGCCGTCAATCAAGGAATGAGAATAAAATAGGAATGAAAAGTTTCGTTTTTAATGTAACTGTAATGAATTCAACTACTTTTAGTTTATACAAATCGCAAACATACATTATTTAGTGTTCATATAAAAGCATCTAATGATCCAATAATGTAGTTCAGTTAAGAATAAATTTTCAGATGCTTACAGGCCAGCTATGTCCTAAAATGTATGATTAAGACAACTATGAAAAAAAAGTTTCCAATACAGAGCAATGAATCTGTATATTAACTGCAACAGACACTAAAGTAAACATATTCCCATCCTATCAGATTCATCCCTTTTTTCCTCTTTTTGCTGAGCAATGGCTAAGAGTATTGAGTTCTAATAACTCCTCCTTAATTCTCTTTCTGGGAACTGAATGTAGGCTGCATAAGATTTTTGTAATTTCTGCTTAGTAATCTAAATGCAGTGATTTTCCTTCTTAAAAAGACGGCTGAGGGGTAGAGTCACTGGAACAGTCTTTGTACAGTCCAAGACTCAAATCCCATGAATGGGCTGGCTGCATGGATGTTTTTGTGTTTTCCCCCACGTGTGATGTGTAGTCTTCCACGGAGGCATCTCTCGACTTATGGCTCCGTCTACTTGGAGCCATAAGTAGCCATAAGACTTATGGCTATATTTGTGTCTCCTTCGAGAGAGCTATAATCACATAAACCAAACCAAAACCCCCTTAAAAAGCTGTCTATGAAAATCTGTATAAGGTTTAATCGTGGAATATTTTGTACCTGGACCCAGACCTTGGGGGGGGAGGAAAGCCACCAATGTGTTAAATTTGAATTTTCTCTGAAAACTATTTTATACTTTCGTCGAGGTTTTTACATTTATTACGTTAATTAATATGTCATGTATATTGTTATAAAGGAAAGAATATAATATTTTTATAATAAAAAGTTCTTTTACGTTTTTATTACCAAATGTGATATTTTTTTCTTTGATGTTTAGATCCCTATATCTGTCACTGAAATCGAAGATGAAGCTCATCCTGTAAAAGTTGGCTTATCTGATGCATATGTTATTGATCGTATTATATACTGTAAGTTTTAAAAAATTATGACTTTCCTTCATTCCTCAAAAAAAAAAAGGGGGGGGGCATTTTTAAGTTGTACATTTTTCTGTGTTGTTCTTTTGATTATGAATTAAATTTTGATATTTTATTGAATTTTTCATCTATTATTTTAATATCAAAATTAGTTATTTTAATTTTGTTGATCAAATTAGAGACATTTTTAGACTGATTAGCCTTTTTCATAATCTTATTAAATTAATTAAAAAAGTAAACCAAATCTTACCGTTTTATAGTTTACATGTACCATTTTATTGTTTACATTTTGCCTGGTCAGAGTACCAAAGCTTTTAGGCTCTTTTTTTTTTGTTTACTGAGTTTCTATAGCATGACTTCCTGAAACAATTTCTCAATAAAGATATTGTGATCTGTTAGAAAAATTTGTGGCCATTCTTGGGTGTTAAAAGTAGGTTATGTGCGGTAAAGTTAAATTTTCTTTGTTTCTAATATAAGAGTGGTCTCTCGTATTGTTTTTAATTGCACTTGATATATGAAGATCTAATGAAATGTATGAAAGAATGTTTTGAAATAAAGTTAAATAATATAAATGGTTTGAAATTAAGTTATTTCTTTCTAATTTAATTTTCTTATTAGTCATTAGGCGAAAAACAATATATGAATATCACAGAATAGACATGAAAAAAGAAGAAATCGGCAACCGTACAGCTATATACTTCACAGCTCTAACTAGTATGTATATTCTTTTCATACATTAAAGTTTGTTTCTGTTATGTTGCTGCAATTTATACTATTTTTTTTTTTTTGTAATGTCTGTTAATATATATTATAGCTTGCCTTAGTTACCATGATTGCCATTCATGCATGAATGCTGATGTAGGCTTAAATTGTGTATGGTGCGAATCAGCTAAAAGGTGTTCCGATGGACTGGATCGGCTAAGACAAGACTGGCTTCAATCAAAATGTGATGTTGAGGTTTGTGCAGAATATATCCAAACTTAAATATTTTATTTATTTATTTATTTATTTTTTTCTCTTCGTCTTCTAAAGACCTTACCAGCGGCCAATTGGTTAAACTTGCTTAAACACTGATTGTTTAACCCAGCTTCCATACTGTAGAAATGGACTTACAGCATGTATATAGTTCGTGGTTTTGCCTTGTGTAATGTGGATACAGTATGAAGGCAGCTCTTCCATTATGCAAATAGCACCTGTATTCAAACAGCCTAATATTTTCTTTTTAAAATATGGTTGGTGTATTGCATATAGAATTCAAAGAAAACAATGATAGACTTCAGAAATATTACATGCTCACTACCATTATTTAACATCCATCTAAAAAAATCATATCTAATGGAAGTTTTAAAATGGAGGTCATGCTTTTGTCTGTCATTTTTTGTACTGTTTTCTATATGTAGCTTGCAAGAAGTGCTAATTCTTACATGCAGTAATATGTGCCTAAAAATATTAGTCATAAATATCAGCGGTTTCATAATGCTTTACCAAATAAACAACTTTTTCAAGAAAAACAATCTAGAATCTATGCTGAAATTTTTTATTGATGTATTTTTACTCTGAAGTTCTAATTTCTGCAATTTCATGTTATAGTTAATGTATACTATATATAATTTAAATTAATAGAGTTTTGGTTTTTTACCTTTTTAACCTGTTTACTGTGTATCTACTAGGTATTTTATTCAGTATGTGTGTATGGCTTGCAAGTTGTATAGAAGCTTAAAAAAACACTGCCACGTGAAGTATGCTGTCATATGGTTGTCTTGCTGTAAATCATCCATGTTTCTAATGGTTAATTAATTAAAGAGCCTAAAGCTTAAAAGTTTCTTGACATATGTATAAAATATGCTAGCATACATTTGTGTTGCTCTAAGTAATCTGTGTTTTTAAGAATAAATATGTGCAAATGCTTTAATCAAATTCTACAATAAGAATTTCTTCCTGCAGTATGAAAATAATTTTGTCATTGTACCTTTGAAAAGATTTAATTGACAAAATACTGAAGGACCGTGTTAATTTAGTGTCAGATGTACACTTAAATTCTAAAGAAAAGTGTTTAGTTTTTCAAGTTGATAGTAACCAGAAGTTTTGAAAAATTAACATTCAAAAAACAAATTATTTTTTAATTAAATATTGTTCTTAATTATTTTACCCATGTTTAAAATGTATTTTAAATAATTAATTTGTTAACTGTTATTTGTTATTGCTCTTATTAAAATTTAGAATTGTTTGTTAAATCGTATTTTTGATTTATAGAAAAGTGCAGTTAATTGCAGTGCCATACCACCAGATTCAAAACCTTTTGTTCAGCAGTTAACTGGTATGAACTGGATATTTTATACTATTCTTAAATAACATATTATGTACATTTTATTTGTATTCTGCTATAAAGTTCATTAGATACTTAATAAATATTAAGTTGCTGAAAATAGTTAATATGCATATATATATATAAAAATTGGACTCTATTTTTATACTGAATTAGATTGCAATTGTGTTTTGCAATTGTGTTATCTGTTTATTCTGTTATCAAAATTATGAATTCACAATTCAATTTTTTTATCATTCATGATCACTCACTGATTATGTCTTTAATTTGTTTTTGTTTGTATCCCCCCATTTTGTAACTGTCTGTATTTGTTAAGCACAATCAAATTTCTCTTAAGAGCACTAGCTGAAAGAAGTCCATTTTTATGGTCTGTGAACTTTAAATATATATATACATTGATCATCGAAATTAGATTATGTGCATATTTAATGAATACTGCTGCAAAACCATTAACTATGAAGCAGTTTTTCATTCATAGCATTTGTTGTGTGTATTTTTGTTGTAGCTACCACTTTGTCTGCATGATCGTGTTAAAGACTCAAATGATTTTAAAATGACAGAAATTTCTCTGCTGCAATAAATAAATAAATAAATAATAATTTTTTTAAAAATGATGATAAAAACGTTTTTAGATATTTGCCGTATTAACAACAAGGGTAATCGTCCATCTTTTCTTCATTAATGTATTGAAGTTTATTTTTTTTATTGTATAAAACTATTTACTAAATAACATAAATAAATCCAAATAAATTTGTAAACTAATTGTCCTCATTTTTAATATTTATTTAATGATAGACAAATCTTGTCCACAGCTATCATTTAGCAAAAATTCAGGCTGAGATATTGACATCAAGATTAAAGGAGTTGGAGCTGTGTGGAAGTGGCACAGCTGGTTTTTTATCAGAAAAGAACAGATTATTGGTTATAAAACAGTCTTCGAGGAAGGATTATTTTGCATATTAAAATGGCATACTCCCATTACATGAAGATTTGTGACACTAATGCAAGACTAAAGAATGTTGTATTTGATTTTTTTAAAAACAATTTGACTGTCAGAGTTAACTTTTTAGAAGACATGTAACATCATCTAGAACAGCATAGTACATGTTATGCAGAATTAGTGTCTTATAGTCATTCAGCCCAATGATGTGTTTTAAAATGAAGGCTTTTGTTAGAAATAGAGCTTTTGACAAGTGTTGATAACTGTATTGTGGTAAAGTAACATTATCTCAGTCCTGCATGACGAGAGCCGGATTTGTCCATTATGATGGGTGTTTCTCAGTTCTTGATTAGGCAATAATTTTTTGCTTTCTAAATAAAATTTTTAAATTCCAGATAAATATTTTTCACAGACTTTTTATCGTAGGAATGTTGTCGTTCATCTTTTCTGAAATAATTTATCTAGATCATTTTCAGATTTCACTCTTTTCAAGGTACTAATATAGATTAGCCTATTTTGATAGGCTGGTTTATTACTGCCAGTTGCAGGGAAACTCTAGCATTTTTAAGTGAACTTTTTTTTTATAAACTGCTATATATATATATATTAAAAAAAAAAAAAAAAAAAAAAAACCCTCCTAACTTTACAAATTAAATTATAGTCAGCTGCATAACAAGAATGCATTTTCTTTAGAATTGTCAGTTGATATGTAAATGTGATTTGCTTATATATTTAGCCCATAATCTGAAGTGACAGTATAAAAGTGGTTATGCATAGTTTTGCTTTTTATTATGTTAAAGGCAATTATTATTGTATTACCTTTAAACTTAATATCGTATGTCATAAATCTGTTTCAAGGGTGGATAGTATGTTTCAAACATTTTTCAATGATATCTATTTTATGGTGTCTAATTTAAAGGGTGGAAATACAAAAAGGATTATGTAAGAATTAGTGATAATGTTCTTTAATCTGCAAACATTTTCTAAAAAAGAGTTTTGTTGTTTCATGCATGATATTAGGCAGAATGTGTGTTTAATTAGTTCTGTTTGCTAATTTAATGCAGAAAATAATTATATGAACTGTATGCAAAAGCTTATGTTTTTCTGTAGTGTATGATATTTAATTTTTTAAATTTTTGTTATGTTTCTATTTTTATTGTTAGTTGTTTATTTTTTGTATTTTTGTTTTGCATGGTTTTCATAGTTCCTCCGTTCAATCCATTTACATTTTTAATTGACCCTGACAAGTTTGATAATTTAGAAACAACTCCAGTTTCTCATCTGTCTGTTAAGCCAGGCAGTACTGGTGGTGAAGGAGCTTCTTCTAGTGCTAGAGGTACAGTTTTATTATTCATAATTTAAACATTAATCTAAATGCATGTATTTTCCCCCCTTACCGTGTTATGTGAGGCAGCTAGTTCGATTTCATGTAACCACATCCAAAAGAATTATGTCGTATATAATGTTTAAAAAGTTTGTAAGCTTTGTTTCTGTAAACACTGATCCTAGTTGTCTACTTCTGGTAACAAAGTTTCTCAAAATAAGTTGGTAAGTAATTTTGTGGAAACAGTTTCAGTGCTATGAGTGGAAAAGTTCAGTAACCCCCCTCTCCTCCAAAAAAAAAATCTTCACAGAGGAAAAGTTCCTGTAACAAAAATATTCCTTGTTTTATTAAATAAAATACAAAACTTTCATGCATTTATATTTAAAATATATCAATAATTAATACTTTTGGGGGATGAGCTACAAATTCAATAATGAAAACTGTATTATCCAGTTTGGAATTATTAATGACCAAAGTGAGCGATTTGGTTGAAAAATCTTAAATCTGAAATAGTAGATGGCATTGATAAGTGATCTAAATAAGTTTTCTGTGGCATGGCATTGTAAAACTTGCATGCTTTTTTAATGACCTATCTATTTATTACATTGGCTGTACAGTGTGCTTATGATAGATCTGAGAAAATCTTTCTGCTCGCAAATCTCTTGAATACTTCAGATAAGAATTAAGCTAAAGAACTGTAGAGGAAAAAGAATGTACTTAAATATTTTGAATAAGGAAAATTCGAAATACACCTGTAATTATTTAAAAAAGTATATTTTTAGATACTGGAATTTGAAGTTCTTTCTCTGGACATAATTTACAACATATGGTGACTTGAATATTCCTGTGAAATACATGCATTCAGCAAAAATGCCCCTGCATATAACCATGGGAAGTAATTTTGCATTAAAGTGTAAAATGTGATCTGGGGAAGAATATATATAAAAGGGAAGTTCAAATTGCACAGTTCACAATATTTCCCGCAATAGGAGACTATATTCATTAAAAGTTTTCTGATTCTTCTGCTTGCTTTTGGCATTTGTCACCATATGTTGTCCCTTCATAATTATGAATTTTTATACACTAAATAATAATGCTAAATAAATGCAATGGGGGACCTACAATTTTACAAATAGTAAGTTTGCTGCAGTATTTAAATGCAATGAAGGTGTTATTAAAGTCACTTTTAAATTCATCAGTGAGAAAACCAATTCACATTCATTATAATATTCTTGATTGTATTTAAAAGAGGCATAAGAAATGATGGAATCTTCTTTTCTGCAAAATGCCCTTTAGATTTATCTTTTGGGAAACCCAAATCTTTTACAGAAGTTCATTATTTTTGTTTTGCCAAAGGTTTTACAATCTAGCATCTTGGCCCATTGGGGAATTTCCGAATCTTCTCTTGCTAAAAGTCAGCTTTTCATTCAGGCATTCAGATATTTATAAAATTTTATGGGATTGATAATGCAGTTTTTCTCTTTATTTTATTTCTTTATTATATTCTCTTTATTTTACTTTATAGTCCAAATTTTTTTTGCTTTTAGGGCTTCTTGTTAATAATGTCCAGTATTTCACTTTATTTCATCAAATAATTGAATTTGGTTGGTATGAGCAAAGTAAACTTTGATATTGGATGCTGTCAATTCTGTACATAATTTTGCTAATTCTTGAAGAATGTTGCACATTGAGGCAAAATCCAAAATGAAATTGATGTCCATGATTTTTTGTGACATGTAAATTTCATATATCACAAAAACTCATTAAATCAAATTACATGTCCATGATTTTTTGTGACGTGTAAATTTCATATATCACAAAAACTCATTAAATCAAATCACTCGGTTTATAAACTGATATAAATATCAACTAACGTCATACAGTACCAAGTCCGAAATCCGGACTCGTTCGCACTTTGGCGATTCCAGATTTGGGATTTTTTCAGATATTAGATCATCAGTTTAAATCTAAAAAGATGGCATATAGAAATTATAAAATTGAAAATATGAAATCTTGATTTATGAATGAAGTATTTATGATCTAAAGGGTATCAAAATTTACAAAGCTTAATATAAATTTGTTTACCTTATTAAACATCTCTTTCAATGTTTAAGTTGCTTCTTTTTTGTGCTAATACTTTCTCTTTAATTCTGTAGACAGACATAATCTCTTGTTAAGTTACATTTGAATCTGTAACTCTGTTTCGAAATTCCACAACTGTCAATATAAATTTTCTCGTTTTCAGTAACTTCTCTGCACTTTCTTCACTCTCAGGTATTTTCTGATCTAGAACATATTACAGATTCGCCATTCATTCATTATTGATTGATGATGAGATCATTGCATCACAAGAAAATTTCTTTCATACTCTCTTTTTCTGCATCTTCACATTTCTTACAAATCTGTAATTGAAAATATCCGCCTTTTTTGGCAATAGCGAAACCTTTAAATTCGGCTATCTCATCCAATTTAACTTCCTCACTGTAACAATTTGGCTAGCATCAGAATCTTGGCGATTAACAATGATTTGTTCCTTTACGTTATTTGCTTCTATCGCACCTGAGAATTAAGCCTGACTTTATTAGTTTAGTTATTTATACTTATATCTATTTCTTGTATATGCTAGGCTATCAAGTTCTGATAAATCAATTCCACATATACTTAGCCTTATTGAGTGGCCGGCACTCGATTCTTATGGCCTGATGCAGTCTCTGTGGGTCCTAAATTCTGCGCTCGTGTGGCCATGTGAGCCTTGTGCTGTTCTCGCTTATGTGAATACAATCACTGTCTAATCAAATAGCCTAATAACTTTGGTTCTATCAGTAATCATCAACAAATCTATTTAGCATATGGAAAAAATTTTTGTAAATTTTCCTCTCAACATTTTTGCTCAACTGAAATCTGTAACCTCGCAGCGTATGGCAACCACAAGTTCTGTACTTCTTTATTTCAATTACTAAATAAAAAAAAATTAGGCATTGCTACATGATCATTGCTGAAGTGTCATGTTTTTGATAACACACGTGATTAGAATATGATTCCCGGTTGCATCAGACACCGAGTATCTATGTGGAATGTTTAGGTTTAAGATGTGTGCCAAGCAGATTTGCAGCAGCGGAGCCAAATTACTGATCATGCAAATTTATGCTAAAATCATTGTTTCTTCAATAACAAGGTATTTTATTTAGTGTCAAAGTGAAATGAAGAATCAGGACTCTCCGGATATTTTATTATGCGTGGAGGGGGGAATCAAATGTGCATGTGTAAAAGTTGTTGGTAGTTTTGAGGTCCGGATTTTGGACTTTGTACTGTATAAGTTTTGCTCATTTTTGACTGTATTTTCAACTGCTTTTACACTTTTGAAATGAGCAATAAAAGCCTCGAATTTTATCAAACAGAAGAAACAAATCTAAAATTGGAAATTCCTGAGCGAGGAATGTTCAATGATAAGGTGCATTGTCACTGTGGAAAATTAATTATTAAATTATTAAAGTCACTGTTAAATTCATCAGTGAGAAAACCAATTCATATTCATTATAATATTCTTGATTATATTTAAAAGCGGCATAAGAAATGATGGAATCTTCTTTTCTGCAAAATGCCCTTTAGGTTTATCTTTTGGGAAACCCAAATCTTTTACAGAAGTTCATTATTTTTGTTTTGCCAAAGGTTAAAAAGGATTATTTGGTCAAGTTTTGCAATCTAGCATCTTGGCCCATTGGGGAATTTCCCGTGCATGATTAAGAAGACATAAAGTTTGACCCATTTTTCATGACAGTGTGTTCAGTATCTCCATTTGTTCTTTGAAATCTGCCTGCAAAAGTTCTGAATTAGTTCCTCATTTTCAGGGGTAATGCATATTGAAGGTGTTCTAGATCACTTCTCATTTTTAAAGGATGTTCTTTTGCCTTTGAAGCCCTTATGCAACTCACAACATTGGGTGTCTGTCATTTTTAAAGCATATTTAATGACTCTTTGCCAGTTTAATTCAGAATTTTATGTTGGTATATTCTTCCCCCTTTCTCTCCATGAGGTAATTACAGACTCTCACGTTTGTATAATTATAAAAACAGTATTATAATACTTCCTGAGATTAGTAGTGATGTTTCTTGGCCTACTGCTTTGTACCACTAGAGCTGGTAGTGTAACTTTGTGCTGTCATTATGGGTATGCTACAGATTTAATCTGAAAAGTTTTGGATTTAGCCATGTATATAACATTTATTCCCAGTTTATTTAGTACAGCATATGGAATAGGGTATTTACACTCTGTTCTTACCTGTATCCCCCTCAAAAACATCCCACCTCCAAATCTCAATAAATATGTAAGAAATGTAGTTAGATTTATAATAAAGTGTATATTTAGAATAAAATATGAATTTAACTGCAAACTTTTAATTATGGAGTTCAAATGTAACTAAACAACATTTTTGCTAACATGCATAATGTCAAACATAACAAATCGTATAAATATCCATAATATGTTTGAAGTTGGTTTTGAGAGCTGTGGATTAAATTTTATCAGTTAGAATATTGTTAAAAATAAGCAGAGAAAGATATTACTTGCTTTTAAATTACTCAGTTTTTGACTAGTTATTATTTTATGTAGTGTGATGTCACAGGCATCCTGTGGGTGGCTTATATTTCACAATTGTGCAGCTTTTGTCATTGCTAAATAGCAAAATAATGTAACATATCATAATAACCTGAAAATTTTCTAACAATGAAAATGTATCTAGCATTGTAGAGGCAATAATGCACTTTTGAGTTATTATATTCTACTGAAATTCTGGCACCATTTCAGTTTTAATCTGAAAAACGCATGTGAGCAGAATAATGATTCATCTTACTCATTTTGCTACTTTTATGTATTTCTTTAAGTAAGCATCCTGTTTGTAAATTTGATATTAATAATAGTGAAAGTAATTCTCTCTTATGAGAAAAATCTTTGGCTCAGTAACTTCCATGTGATTTCAAAATTTCTATCACAAATAGGTAAAGCTTGAACAATCTTTAATGCATCCTCTTCTGCCAAAAATCATGTGTATTCCATTGTTTAATAATAGTGGACTGTAGGGGGACTTGCAATTACCTTAGTTGAACTTCCAATAACTTTAAGAGTCATAATGTTGACCGAATCTCTTTAGTGGCCGTCAAACTTGACATTGGCTGAGGAATAGGGACAGAAATGGCAAACCCTAGTTTCAGAAGCAGATCTCAGAGAAACTGTGTGACATTGGAACTCAAGTAATTCCCAGCAACCTTGAAGCTTCAAATGCATACTTAAGAACCCTAACAAATTTGTATCTGTACCACTTCTCGGTTCAGTGACTAGAAATACAATTTGCATAACAACAAACACTGCTGTACAAGAAAATATTAAAATATAGCAAACTGTTTGTACAGATTGGATATTATATTCATATATTTCAATGTAAGATTAGAAAGATCTTTAGACGAAACATTGCAAGTTCAAGTTGTGATTTCTATTCAACTTTTATGTTATTTTAGTTTTATTTGTTCATACAAAAATTAGCTTCTTTGCGGAGTAATATTTCATACTTACGCAGTATGAGATTTTTTTTTTTTTTTTTTTTTACTTTTGTTAAAATAATTGTATTGAATTGTTCAAAATAATTGTATAGGTGAGTATAATTGATTAGATTAACAAATGGCTATATTCAACCTGTATTTTGCTTTCATCTCAGTTTCAAATGGGCTAAATGTGGGAAAGCCCCTTAAAGTTAGTTCTTGCCATATTTTGAAATATCTCCAGATTCTTTTTCCCTTGAATGTCAAATGAAGATTCAAATTTTGTCATTTATTTAAAGTTGGTGCACATCTTTTGATACATTACTTTTTTAATTCATGACGAAAACACTCTTTTTTTTTAATATTGGTCACTTCATAATATTTAAATTTACAAAAGTATAATGCATTATTATTTCCTTCTGCTGGATAATTTTACATTTCATGAATGTGAAACGTATTCTTCAAATTATGGGAAAGAAAAGAACAATACATGCTTCTTTGAAAACAGCCTATTTAGAATTAAATCTACAAATAACACAAGTGCCCCTTCCTCCCAAATGTACAACACAGATACTCCTTCTGTATGCTCAAAACGGATACTCCTTCAAATGCTATCTTGCAAAAAGTATCAGTGCAGTTGTAAACTAGTTCTTGTGTATCAGTCCATATGTACATCGTTATGAAAGTATTACTATTAGCCTCATAAACTTCAGTTGTTAGTGGTAGTTGATAGTGTAATTATTCCAAAATTTTGTTCTTGTGTTTTAGTTTTTCAAGAAACATCTTCTATGGGAGTTGGTAGTGTTGTTGCTATTTTGATGATTTTGGCTATACTTATGGGTGGAATGTTGTGGGTTGGTTATGCTTATCGAAACCCACACACCTCATCAGGGCAACTCTTAATCAGAGTAAGTATTACTATGTTAAATTACGCTTTAAATCAAGTGTATACTATTTGTGTTATGGAATGTTTGCATCTAAACTTTTTTTTTTTTACTTTTAGCTGTTTGATTACTCATATAAATTATGTTTGTATTGTGTATGTTTTTGCAAATTATATTTATTTTAAAGAATATATATTTTCACTGATATAAAAAAATAACTATACTATGCAAAATTCTCTAAGTGGCCAGAGTTTGACTCAAAATCCATGATAAAGAGGTATTTATTGATTATTATTCCAAAATGACTCTACCATTTTACTACAGTTATTTTTAAATAATAATAAATGATTAGTTTCATATGAAATTAATAAAACAAGATTACAGAACTACTGGACAGGGTAATCTAAGAATTAATATCTAGCATTTTCTAGGTTTCAGTATTGGTCACACAGAGAAGTTTCATATTTTTATTCTTATTAATGCACTGATTGTTTCTTTCTATTTTTGTAGTACCGTCCCAGCCAGTGGCGTTTTAGAAGTGGTGAAGCTAGATATACTGCAGCATCTGTTCATATGTAGAAAAGAAAAAAATAAATCTACATTTTAAACTATTGAAGAAAGAACTCAAAAACATAACAAAAGTTTTTACATTCCTTCTGCTTCATGACATAAGTGCACCTTAATTGCCATATCATATCAGCACAGAAAATCTAAAGGAATGACAATGTATTTTAGTCATACACAATTTGAGGAAAGAAGCTGTATGTAATGCACGCATGTTTTTAAAAAAAAAATATGGATTGTTTTAAAAGACATTTTTTTAAAAATTTGATACAAAAATCTGTTTTCTTTCTGTAGCATTAAGTCATTTTGCTAAATTGTTAATTTTTGTTCAGAGTCCTGTATAGTTTCCATTTAAGCAATTGTTTTTAATTTAGATTTTAATAATGATCAAATATATTGATTTTAATTTTAAAAATCATTATTTATAATGTGTGTAGTAGTTACACATATAATCTGATTTAAAATTTTGAGATAGTAATTGCAGCAGCTATGCGATGATAATGATGTGCAGTTAAGATTATGTGCCTTTACTGCAGCTGTGTAAAAGTTTATTTTTAAAATGTGATATATACACAAACAAACTTGTATATTCATACACATGCATGTGTAGTTTCTCTATACAAACAATGTATAAATAAACCTGTAGTATTCTGAAGACATTTGTTATTGAAATTCAGATGATTCATTATGTCTTTAATTCTAATTACTTATCGAACATAAATTGCAGTATGTGTTTTTTTTTTTTTTTTTTTTTTATCTTAAATAGAAATTTTGGAATGAAATTCTTTAAATCATAGGTTTCCTTTGTTTAGGCTTGATATTGACTTTTTCATAAAAGTACAAAACCACCACAAACATTAATAAGGAAACTGGATTTTTCTTCTTATACAGAAAATTAGTTCTGTCAACTCCTATTATCACAATGATGGAAAAGGATCCAATAGCAGATGGCGGTTGTAATGAAATGTTACATAAAATTTTTAAGATTATTTAAGATTTTAAAGTCATCACTAAGTTTTCAGCGAATTAAAATCTTATGACTTAATTTATCTGTGTACTGACATGTGTGATGACATACATCTTAACTATATTGCAGGTAATTTCTTGAACAGAATTGATCGAGCAGGGTTCTCAACTTGTTTTTGCTCTATGCAGCCCCTCTTTAACCATTGTTAGATGATCATTTCCCCCTTCCCTTCATTTCAAAATTTAATATATATATATTTTTTAAATTTGGGTAATTTTAATGTGTTTTATATAATGAGAAGTGTAGAAAATGTTAATAAGTACACAAACTTGAATAAAAGTAGAGGTATATATATAATGAAATTAACAATATATTGTAAAATAATTACAATATAATATAAAGTAATTAATTCATTTAATACAAAATGAATAATATTGAAGTGCTATGTACAAAATTGTAAGCTGAATTTTGAAATGATCAAAACAGAATATGAAAAGATGAAAAGTTCATAAGCTCTTGATAATTATCCTTTACATAAAAGGGTTCAGCTTCACTTTTTAAAAATTTCTATATGACTAAGTTATTCAATCAGTAAGTCATATTTGTGAACAAATAACACTCATAAAACAAAACTTCTAATTATAATCAAATTATAATCAATTTTTTTAACATAAAAGTTGAAAAAAGTTTGAGGCAAAAAAATATAGAAATAAAAATTACTATAGACATACAACAATTTAGTTGAGCACAGCCAAATGAGTTTTTCACATATCTTTTAAGAATTTCCAGTCATCTCAGGATTAATATTTCTTTAAATGCATGTGTAACTTTTAAACCTTCTTCTTGCTTATCCCAAGTTACGCTTAATTTTGTTCTGTTTTTTTGATTAAATCTGCAAGAAAGTAATTTACTGGTAGAATCTTTGCATACTTTCTTTTCTTTTAGACATCTGTGGAAATATATCGTTCAGGCATAAGTTTCTTAATCTTTCTTAACATAGAAAAAGCTCACTGTCCTTTTTATTTAATATCAAACATGAACATGAAATGGCAGCCTTTTGATAATGCATAGCAGTCTCTTTGAAAGGGGGCTATGTAAGATAAAAAATATGTAAATCAAAATTATAATTTAAATTAACAGTAACTCCTTAATTCTTCTCTATTCTAAAAATCGTAAGAACTTATCTGGATTGCATCATTACTGGATCAGTCCATTTTGCAGTCCTGCACAGCGCTGATGACGTAGGTAATTCGGAACTTAAATTTAAAATTTTTGAGAAATAAAACCTTTCTGACCTAAACCAAAGCCAAAAACCTTCCTCTTGGTGATTTTTCATATTGGATAAATGCATACTTTGCTTCAACTTCTGTGCTGCTTGGAAGCAATTTATCTGTGCTCTCTTCCTACCACAACAGTATCAAAAATGTAAATTTTCTGGAAATAGGCACGATTAGAGTGCCAAGTGAATTGTGGCTACAAATGTCAATTTAAATAAAAATGGAAATTAATCCATCTCAGCTGCCAAGTTGCATTACAGATTTAACATTTTATGCAATCAGAAATCTTCTCTTCAGTATGGATCTACGTGCTGCGCAATCGGCATTTTTGTGTTTCTACATCTCAGTGCTCCTATGTAAGTACTTCTCTAAATGTGTTTTCATTACATATATTCATAAAATAAAACCTAATACTTAACAGGTATTGCATTCCCCCCCCCAAAAAAACTGAAATTTCTCCTTAGGAGGGAATTTTCCCCTGTTTGAGAACCCTTGAATTTGCTATCTTTCTGCTTATTTATGAGATGTTGCAGCTTTCTCTTTTGCTGCACTTTTGTAGCCTCCTTTATCCATACCTTTAGTAGGGTTATAAATAAGTACTTTGAAGAATGTGAACATTTTGGCATTATCAGTTTTAAAAGTAGTTAGTTTATTTACGTACTCCTCCAAAAATTTTGTTATGTAGTTAATCTGACAAAGCATAGGTCTCAACTGTTAAAAATCTGGTGTTATTAAAAACTATGAAAGATATCAATGCAACAGCAAGAATAGTTGATGTAGATTTTTATTGCCTTTCTAGGCAATATAAATTATGCATGTAATCTTGCATTAATATCATTAGTTTCCATGAAATTTAGTTTAAAGATGAATCATTGTATTGGGATGAGATATTGCTTTGAGGGTTGTGTTAGTGCGAGTTGACTGTGTATTTTGCAAAGATGTGGACATATTTGTCTGATCATATATTTTATTAATATCGTCTTCAGTTTCTAGCAAACTTTTCAAAATATGCCATTAGAAACTAAGAGTAATTAAACTAATTTAATATTTTTTTTTGACAAAGAAACTTGTAGCCTTTTATTTCTTTCCAAGAGTTGGTTTTAATGTGAAACAATACAGGAATTAGACTACGTAAAATTTCATTTAATCTTCAGAATACTCAATATCCATAGTGACAAATGACTTCCAACATTTATATAAAAAAATTTTATATTGCTAAAAAATTTTGCAATATAGATATGCTAAAAAAAAATAAGAGTCTCCTTCATTTTAAATTCAGTTATTGCATAGTAACATTGTTTGAATTAAAAAAAGTTTTTTTTTTTTTTTTTGAACTATCTTTAAAAAGAATCATGTTTATGTAGTATTTTATGAATAATCATAACCTGCTGGCACTTTTGTCTTTATTTTTAAAAATATCATAAATTTAATCTATTATACAGCTGTAATGGTCTAAATCTTTTTAATTGTTTTTAATAATATATTTTTATAAAGTACAAATGTCTAATACTTAGACATTCTGTAAAAACGAGATTCTTTCAAAATAATTCAATTTCAAGTACTCGCTCTGTAAAAAGTATGTTAAAAGGGGCATTATGAGAAGATACTTAGTTCTTTTTTGCATATGTTGTAATTATTTTTTGTATACATGCAAAGATAAAGCCAGTGTAAAACACAAGTCTGTGCAAAGAGAAAATTAGGTATCTTTGCATTTTGCCCTCATGTCATTTTTAAATGCAGGTATGCATTTAATAAAAAATTAATTTGATAGCAGAACATATCAAATCATGTGGAATTTGTGTCAGATAATGTTGCAGTATGAATTGTGCATTGTGCATAAGTAAATATTGTGTGATACCTGAACTTTCTGATTTTATATTTATGTATAACATGTGTTCTTTTTTTTTTCCTCATTGCATGCACATGCATTAACCGGTGAAAAAAATTTGATTTTGTTGTATTTTCATTATTTTACATATGCATCTGTTACTCTTGTGCTGACTATATGCATTAAGAGAAGCATCTTTCTAATTAAAAAGAATCTCATACTTGTTTTGTAGTACTGCGTTTTCATTCACAAATATTTAGAGAAATTGTGCTGTGAAACATTTATAGAAGTTTCATATGCAAAAATTTATCAGAATGTCTTAAAAATGCATTGTTGTTTTTATTTGTGTTGTTTCGTACCGAGAGCCACAGTGTAGTGTTTATTGTCTTTTATTTAAAAAAAATTTGGCTTTTATACATTTTACATTTAAAATTTCCCACCTTTTTATTTTGCTTTTGATTTTCAGTTTATAATGTTCATAGGTAGTTATTTTAATTCAGAAAATAAGTTGAAAATTCATAAAAAGACATTTAACCCTCCCCCCCTTTTTTTAGCATTTTTCAATTGGTGTAGTAAATCTGAAAACACTTCTGTTGTTTTAGTGTTTAGTTTTAGAAATTATCCTTTTATCATACTTGTCGACAAATTTTATGATTTTCATCAATCGCATAAAAGGCTCCCTGTACCTTATATGAAAATACTCTTGTTTAGGATATGATATTTCTGTAGCTGTTTGATAGGAAATTATTTCTTTAAAGGCACTTAAATTTATATTATATAAATGAAGTTAAATGGCCTGGGTTATTATAATTTTCAGCATATATTGGATGTGCAAAAAAAAAATTTTTTTTTTTTTAAAGGGATCTTCAAAAAGGGTAACTTGTATTATATTGAGAAATTGCCACATTTAAGTGTAAGGGTTTTAAGAAACTTAGCAGTCCCTTTTGAGTTTGCTAAATATGTTTAGATATTAAAGTATGAATCATTTGATTATGATCCTATGCATTTAATTAAGTTATTTTTGTTTTTTCATCAAAAGGTGAAATAATTTGTATCTTTTTGAAGTGATGAATCGTATAAAATTCAATTTAAAACAAATTTTGTATTATAAAGCCTTAATCCTATTATGTCAGCTTTCTGTATCCCCTCCCTTATTCTGCCATTGATTTTTCTGACTAACATATAAATATGTCTTTTCTCTTTTTTAAATTTTTTTATTTATTTTTATGCATGTTGAATAAAGAGCGGAGTATAATAATAATAATATGGATCTCTAAGATATATGAAACATATATGAAAACCAAAATTGTTGTCTGTAATAAAAACTGCATTAAAGATGTAATATGTTGCTATTAAAGAATACACTTTTCACACACAGTATTAAAGTATTGCACTTTTTCAAATATTTATGCATTTAGGGGAGTTGCCAAAAAATCATAATGGCATATCATGAAGTTAATATCATGTAATACTTAAAATATATGACAGTTATTAAATAAAAAAACAAAAGATTAAAGCTTAATACTTTGTATGAAAATTTAAGGGGTAGTATTTTATGCAGTGCAGTATGCTAGGTTTGCATATTGTGTTTTGACACCTTTAAGTGGAAATACTGTGTGCTGTTCTTTTCTGTGTTCTGAATAACAAACCAAGTCTATAAGGCTGATTAATGGTATTGTTATTTTAGGAAAGTACTCATGGAAAAAAAATCTGTAAAATGATTTTTCTTGATAAGTAATAGAAATATTAATAATTCAGTGCATATTAAACTTTATCAGATATGATTAATTGAAAGAGAACTTGGAATATTTATTCTATGTCTAGTGTGACACTCAGAGAAACAATGCAGAATTCAAGTCGTATTGTGAGAAATAAAAATGAGCCTTCATATCAGCTTTGCTATAGCTGAGTCTTCCATTTCAGAGATAATTAATTACCTTGCACTCATCATCACTTGAATTAGCAGACTTCTGTAATCTGCTTTTTGGAATCATAATGACGGTATGGTCCTGTATTAGTTGGCCAAAAGGAATTTAGCAGTGATCTGACATATGCATTTTGCAAAGTAGAATGTAGAATTATGTATGTATGTAGAATTGCAAAAATTTTAGCTTAAGAAAATTAATGATAAGAATTTTATTAAGTATTCAGTATATGCTGATTATTCAGCTTTTTACAAGGAACTGAATTTATTTTTGTTGGAAATTATTTTTTTTGCCTCTTTATTGATTGTACAAATCTTATCATCTTTGTATTAAAATTAAGAAAATTAAAGCAAATTAATGTGTAAGGTGATTTAAGTATTGCTGTAATCATATTATCCTATAATATGAAAGATTCGAAATTAGTTTTCTTTTAATGTCATAGTTTTTCCATACGTACTAAGCTTTTTGTCCTGTAGGAAATATAAAATTTTACTTCTAAAATAGTTTATTAATTACTGTGGCTCTGTTCTATTGACCCTTGAGCAATGCATGTTTCAATTTCGTGGCTCTACTATATTCCAGAATTCTTTCAATGCATGTACTAGAAATGTTTTTGAAGATTCATTGCAGTTTCAAAAGTGTACTCAAATTTATTGATACCTTAATTTTTTATGTGTGGTAGTAATGCGATCACATATATAGTGTCTTAGAGTCACATATTTAGTGTCACATATATAGTGTCTATGTCTTGGAGATATTTTCTTTTTCTTGTTTATTTTATTGTAAGAAAAAGTATCTAATATATATAAACATACAAAGTCTGAGTTAATCAATTTTTTTTAATTGTTAAGTCTTTAGGCCAAGTAAGAAATTATATGTAGATTATTAATTATGCAAGAATCTTATGCTTCTAATGCTTGCATTATTCAAGGGTCAGCTGTTTTTATGATACTAAGTCAACTGAATTTTGCAAATTAAAGAGCTTCTACATTATTTAAAAGGTTTTCTGAATAACTCTAACATAAAAGCCTAATCGTTATGTGCCGTATGCCTTAGTTTCGTAATTTTAAATTTTTCTTTGAAATCTCTTAATTCATGTGTTCTTTAAAATATCAAATTATTATTTTTTTTCCCAATCAAATTGTTATTGTACCTACATATATTATTGCTTTGCTTAGTCTGTTTTTAAGTTTTTGTTTTGTCTGATTTGACATATATAGAAAATAAATTTTTATTATTTTAAAGGTATTAATCTTTTTCTGTTTATGCATGCATTTATTTTGTTAATTGTTATGAATAGATTATTTTTTAAGAATTTTGCTCTATAAAACAAACGCATGTAATTGTGATCTGAAAATTCTTCTATTATTTTTTTTTTCCATAAAATCATATTTATGTTGAATCTGAAGTCTTTGAAATTTTTTCAGTAAATTCCCAGTGATTTATTTTTTTAGAATTTCTGTTATAACTTGAGATATATTTTAGATAAGATTACAGATATTTTTCCTCATTTGTTAGTGTATGAATGCCAGCATATACTTTTCATAAGTTTCCATGTTTTGTGTGGATACTTAGACTGGATTAAATATGACAAAGTTTATCATATTTTCAATCAGTTTTATGTTTTCATTTTATGCATACATCATAAATATATTCAGTTTCATTTATTTGTTTTAAGTAGTGTTGTGATTTTGCTCAATCTAGATGGTAATAATGATTTGCTCAGTTCTTCATGTATTATATAAAAAGCACTTTAAGACTGTATATGATAAAAATATTTATAAATACAAGTATTTTCAGAATACCTTTGAAAGCTGTAATCCTGAAGACTTAATAATGACATTATTGTCCATTCCTCAATTGCTTTGGTTGAATAACTATTGTGATTTATGCTAATTTGTAAATAAAACTGAATGCTTTTGAAGATAAACTTGTATTTATTATCTATTTTATAATATTTGTGATGATAATAGTTAGTATAATATTTATTTACTTAATAATTAAGTATAAATTTAAGCTGCCACTTGTATTGCTTTATCAATTAGGCTTTGGTAAATGAGGAAGCATTTTGATAATTTATTCCAAGCACTGGGTGTTTTAGCTTGGAAAAAATATGGTGTACTCGTAACTGTGCAGTAAAGAAAATGAAGACAAAAATGACCATTTCCAAGTTTGACATATCAAAAGTACTTTTTTCATTTTCATACTTTTGATCTGTAGAAGGGAAAATTCATGAAATTTGAAGGTAGTGACATTTTAATGAACCATCTCTATAAGTGTTTATTTATCAGTAGTAATATTTTGTAATTTATTCAGATATTTTCTCTTTATTACTGTTGCTAGCACAGTATCTTTTTTGGGTCACAATGAGGATCTCAAATAATTCAACTACTCTGTCTAAATTCACTATAAGGCCTGTATTTCTATGCTCATCCTGTGTAGGGGGTGTTCGAAGATTGCATTCTTGTTATCGTGAAATTTCTGAGATGGTTTCACATAGAAAAAAAGTCTAGAGATTCACAATCTAATAAAGCCTCCATTCTTTCCAGAAAGTCACAGGTACGCCCCTGCTGTTGTTCATGTTTTAATAATAATGCATTTACAGACACCTTTACTTCTGTTACTACTTTGTTTAAAATTAATTTCGGTACTTACGTACTATCATAGCCATCTTGGCACAGTCTGGCGATTTTTTTTTACGGATGAAAATGTAAAAGTTACTTAACATATGCAAGTTGGTGGTTTGTGCGGCTTTTCTTTGTAGAAAGATTTCCAAATTAACGATATTTATAGTAATGTTGGTAAACATTATCAACATATGAAAAAGGAGACATACTTTCGCAATTCAAATACAAATTTGAATTATTAAATAAGAATTACATGATACATTAAAAAACTAATACACTTCCCTTCTTAAAATCTTTCTATAATTTTTGTTTTTTCGTTATTCTTCTTCTGAAGTGCACAGTGATCTGTTTTCATTAAAAAAAATTCAGAAAATTGAAGAAACTCGGTTTTGTGCAATCTTTGGCAATAGCGGCTCTCTAGAAAACGCATTTTCAAGTTGTTTCTTTTTCAAAATTTTTACCAAAATTCTGTATTACTGCCGGAATTTTATTGTTGTTTCTTCCAATGATGGCGAATTCCACAAGCTCATATTTTAAATTAAAAATTTAGTTTAAAGCAAAAAATATCACGATTTGTTTATAAAAACTGTTGGAACTTGGAATACAACAAAATAGAACGCATACGAAAATGGCAACTGTGCTTGACTGAAACGATTGTTATGATGGTTGCATGGATGCCGGAGGAATGGTTATGTGCATGTTTGTCACATTCTGAAAATTTGGCTACTTCTACTAAGATGGTGGTTGGATAGTACTTAAGTAACATTATTTCTTATGTGGTATCTTTATCCTCTCAATTGCTGAAAGAATTTGATTAAAAGCCAAGAAATTGCTAAAGAATTGTTTGTGTCATCATCCTCACACGGCAAAAACAATTTTCACGATTTCTGCACTCTCCTGACATTAGTAAGCACAGTGAACATTTGAGTACGAAGTAAAGGAAAGTATTGTAATCACGAAAAATTTTGGGTATCATATTTCAATGGAAATATCCATTTTGACTGCTCCCGAATTCATTTGTATGATTTTTTTTTGGCATGATATCTGTACGTGTGCACAGAATGAAGGACTTTTTTTCCCAAAACAGATTGTAAAATGGAATTCAGGAAGGATTTTTTTTGTGGTGTCTGTATGTATATGTATGTATTTCACATGTCAAAAAAACGATTAGCCGTTATAACACTGAAATTTTGTCTATGGGGCAGCTATAACACCTAGTATTCCACGTACCTTTTTTATTGCAATCGGCAGTACTAAATGTGTGTTACACATTCCTTAAACGTCCTTTATTTTCGCAGTCATCGGTTGTTGTCATGTACCTCTACTTACAGAAATGTTTTAAATGATGAAAATATTAATGTTTTGGCAATGTCAGTTTTAAAAAAAAAGTAAAATTTTGACAAATAATGAAATCTAACTTTTAATGCGTTCTCCTGGTTTCTATACTTAAGTTTGAGAAAGTTTTATACTCATTGTGAAAGGAAAGAAATTAAGAGAAGTTTGACTCTCATACGACAATTAATTGAGATATTTTAATTTTAAAATTCACAAGTTTTGATGTCATTTTCAGCTTATCTTGAAGGATCGGTTAATGAAGTTAAAATAATTTGAGCAAAAAATGTTTATCATTTAGTAGGCTGTACAAGGAAGTTGTGGCGTCCACATCAGATTTTTGTTCCTTATTTATGTATTAGTTTGTTTATTCTATTGTAAATTATCTTGATTATAAATGTTTAATACTCTGAAATACCCTTGAAACCAGTTTGCTAAGTTTTAAATGTTGCTTTAAAGCATTCTGTTAGAAGAAATTCAAACACAACACATTGAAATTTATTCAATTATTTGTACTATTATGAAACAATTTATCCCCTTTTTTAATGTACATAAGAAATTTATTATGTTTATTTGGCACAAATGGGAATGAAGCTCTTTTAATACATTTGACCTGATCTTACAGAGAGGTTGTGTATTTGATGAAAAGATAATGTGTTTATAAGATATTTCTCCCTCCTTTGTGCATGCCTTCGTGATGTTAATTGTAGCACACTCGGCGCATATTTGAGTGGATCAGGTCCCAGTCCTGGCAAGGCACTCATGTACTCCTTCTTCAAAAATACCTAATGTTTCTACTGTGGCATCTGAACTATAAGATGGTATTCTTCACCACAAGGATTGAGTCCCCTAATCACCAGCCATCATTTAAAAGGAGAATATATAAGGTATTTTTCCCTCCTTTCAGCACTCCTGCTTTAAAAAAATCCTAATGACCCTACATGTTTTACAATTTACACAAAAGGCTGCAGCTAATTTTTTATTTCTAAAGATTTGTTTTGTTTGTTTTTAAAATGTGTGAAAGGGTAATTTCTTACGAAAAGAGTGCCCTAGAAGAAGCATGTGTTTCAGAAAAGGTATCCAAGAGTGAAGTTCTGAAAAGAACTACAGATCAGAATAGTAATTCTGAAATTTTCAATCCTAGCATTAAATTCTACGATGCAACAAATACCTTATAGAGAACTATGAATTATAATTAACCTGTTGAACCATAAGGCACTATAGATCTGCCATTGCAGTTATCTGCACGGTAAAAAATGGAATGATTATTAGTGGTCAGTGCTTTTGTACTGTCAAAATTTTCCTGTGCATATATGCCATGGTGCCTTTTAAAAAAAAACTGAGGAATCAACAGCAAAATCTGATCCATAAACAGCTTGTTTTTTTATAAGTCGATGGCTGGAAAACATATGCCTCTTGATATAGATACAAAACAGCATGGGATCTTGCTAAATAAGGCATACAACTTTTTCTTTACTGTGCATACTTAGTAATATGCCAATGTGAATAATCCTTTTAACTTCTTTTAATACTTTTAAGTAACTTATTA